GTCCCCTAGAGTCAGGAATGACTATTTGTGAAGGGAACCTTTACCTTATTGTGGCCATCATTGGCTATTCATTTCTTTCGGGTTCTGAATACTTTGGAAGCCATTTTAAAAAATTCTGAAGCCAACCAATAGTAAGACAAGATAAAATGGAAAAATCAACATTGTGTGAAGGAAACAATCTATTTTCCTTACCCCCACATTGTGACTGATATTATTTTCACTCTCGTGCAAAATTTTGGTGCTGAGATGGAATGTAGTCCTGGAGTCCCAGGCAGGAGGGGCTCTTTTTTAGAGGGCAAAGAGACAGCGGAGGTTGGAAAGGCCTGGTACACAGGAAGAGAGCAAGGTTGGGCCCTCTCTAGCAATTCACGGAGTACATCTATGGTTATGAAGAAAGTTGCTTTAGTCTGACAAGATTCTGTTAATAGGTGAACAACAATAAAGAAATACTCTGAAACAACTACCTGTGTTGTTCTTGGTTCTTTGAGCCTGACAGGTATCTAGAATAACTTCTAAGCCTGTTCTCATCCCAGTGTTATCAAATACCATTAAACAAATGGCTTACAATATCTTGTAGCAGCAGCTTCCGCAGACAGCAAAGGAACATGATGTCTCCCTTTCATCTTAAGCATGTGCCACATCCCTGTGAATACAGAGGGAGGAATCCTCTCTTGGATAGGCAGATAAAGGCATGGGATTCTCTTATCATCTTCTACCGGTTGACATAGGGGTGCAAGCAAAGTCCCCAAGAACTAAATGCCTTTTTTCTTTTGTCTGTGGCTTGTTAGGCTTCTACAGTTGTGGGAGATGTTCAACAGAAGACACATAAAGCCAGCAGTAAAAGAGAGCAGCAGAACATCTGAAAAAGGCCAGGGGACTGTGGAGATCTTGCAGCTATAAGGTGATAGATGTGACATCCAATAGCATTTCTGCTTTAAGGTACAGATGATAAAGAAAATTGCCACGGATTTCTATGGGAGCAGATTTATTTCATCCATGAAAAGGACTTCACTAACAGCAAAGAGGGCATTATTAAACTGAGTTCACTAGCTTCTGCTAAATGTCAAACATGGGTGAAGGCTGGTTTTTGCGAGGAGGAGGAAGTAGGGCTTGAAAGAACCCACCGCATCTTTTATTCAAAAAGCTTACTGGGAATCCTTTCAGCCACATCTGGAGAGTACACAGGAATGGGTAAGTTGATGATAACTTCAGTGGAGGCCTTGAAAAGGAAGCTTTGCAAATTTTATGGCAGAGGAAAATATATGCCTTTATTAAAAGCCCTCCCAGCAGGAAAAGGCCTAGGAAACAAGCAGCATCAGTAATGTTATTTTGAAAGCATTTCTTTTTGGAGCATGGAGGCAAATCATGATGAGAAGCAAGCTGCAAACAGAGTTACCTGGTAGGATATTATCATAAACACTTAAGAGAGCTATGGCCACTTTTGAAACCAGCATGCATTTGGGGCAATTAACACCCCTGACCACAGACAGGTTAGGCATCATGCAAAATGCTGCTCACTTAGGAAAGCTTTTTTTTTTTAAAAAAAAAAGTCAAATTAATTTGGGAGTTGTTGAGAGGCCAAGAGGTCTATGTATAACAGCAAAAAATCCTGACTAAACAACTTTGTACTATATGTGCTATCCAGGGGACCAATGTACTAGATATTAGGAAAAAGCTTTTTTAAAAAAAAATCCTAAAAAGTTACATTTGGGGAAATTATCTAATTAGAAACATTCTACTATTTCCCAGGAAAGATAGTGCTTTAGAAGAGTCTTCTTGATTGAAACAGCAGAGTTGTTCTATTGTGTATAAAAGTTGTCCAACCTAAGGGAAACAGAAATACAGAACACTAAGACGGGCTTCCCACAACACCACTCATAGAGAAATTCTTCTCTGCAAGAGACGCTAAGATGGTGGATAGAAGGTCGTTAAAGAGAGATCCAACCTAGAACTAAGAAGAAATTTCCTGACAGTGAGAAAAAAATAATCAGTGGAATGGCTTACAGTACCTCCGGAAGTTGTGGATCCTCCATCACACGAGATTTTCAAGAAGAGATTGAACCACCATTTGTCTGGAATAGTATAGGATCTCCTGCTTGGGTAAGAGGTTGGATTAGAAGATCTAAAAAGATCTTCTAATTCCAACCTCTTCCTGTTCAATTATTCTATATTCTATAGAACTGAGCAAGAAGACCACAGTCAAGACCCAGCATGGTGCAGTGGTTCGTGACCCGACAAATGCGCGCACGACAAAAGCACGGCGACAAAAGCACGCCGACAAAACCGTGACGTCATCAACATGCCAACAATAGCGTGCCGACAACAGCGCGCCAACAGAAGCACGATTTAAGTTAAGGGTTAGGGTTAGGGTTAGGGTTAGGGTTAGGGTTAGGGCTAGGGTTAGGGTTAGGGTTAGAGCACGCTTCTGTTGGCACGCTGTTGTTGGCGTGCTTCAGCGCTCATTCGTTGGCGCGGTTTAGAACTCACGGTTTTGTCACCGCACTTTAATCAGGCACGCTTTTGTCAGTCACCCTTTTGTCAGTGAACCGCAGTGGTTAGCATTGAGCTAGGACTGGAGACATCTAGATTAAAGTCCCTTTTGATGTGAAGCTGGCATAGTCATAAATGGTTTCTAAAGGGACCACCATACTTTGGAACAAGCTTGAGAACAAACTGAAGAACAAGCTCAAATCAAATCATATTTTTCAGAAAGGCTGTGTGGGACATTGAGATACTGTACATCCTGGCTGGATTCCCACAACATGCTAAAGTATAAACCATAAGTCAAGCAATGTTTTATGCAACACACCAAGACAAATTCTGGGTTAATGCTGCTGTAATTTATTAATTGCTGTTTTTAAGTATACCGTGTTAATGTTTTAATGTTTATTTTATTGCTTACTTTGAAGTTTTATAAATGAGTGTTAATGTATATTTTAGTAGCTTCAACTGACTGTTTACATTGTACATTGCTTTGAGATCTTTTTAATGAAAAGCCACATAGTCATGGTTTAATAATGTTGAACCACAAACCACTCAACCCCATTTTAGCCTACTGAAGTGTTGCAAGAACCCAACCCTAGAGAAAGCAAGGAGGAAAGGAGACAAGTCCAAATCTCAAAAATAATGTTCACTCTTAACAGTTATTGGGTCAGATAATCTTTTTCATTTTTCTCTTATTTCTCCCTTAAAGAAGCATTTTGGGAGTCTGGATCATAGGGCTATTATCTCTCCATGATTTCTCACAGCCTGCGTGGCCAAATCAGTTTACAAGAGCATTAGACGTCTGTAAGATGGACATGGATGACAATCTCAGCAATCTCTTGACAATCAGCAATCAGAAGCACACATCTCAACTGCTCCCTTCTGATCAGCATAGTTTTGACTGCTCATCAATGGTAGCTCTGTGAAAAGCATCCTGCAAAGGTCTTATTAGGAGAGCCCAAACCATGTTTAACATATTCCTTGAATGTTGCATGATGAGGCTGAGCCATACATTATAGTTTCCTTAAAGGTGTGGTAGAGGATAGTTTGGTTGAGGCTAGGCATCGACTCCAAGATCCTTCTCACAGTTTGTTGTGGCCCACCAGTGGCCAGAGGATCTGGCAACAGATTTAGACAGTGAAGAGGTTGGGGAGGAACATGGGCCAGTCCTGGAGTCTGGGGAAAGCTCTGATGAGTGCTCTGCATCAGAGGCAGAGATGGGGCCAGGGCTGTTTGACAGTTATCAGCTGCCTACAGAGTCAGACATCAGTAGAGCAGAAGAATAGCTGGAGCCTGTTCCCAGTGTGTGCATGTGCAGAGCTGCCAGAAGAAGGGAACAGCTAAGGAACAAGGGTTGACTTGGGAGTAAAGGGACAGGTGGATGGTGGATGGCCCCTCTCATAGGGAAAAGAGAGGAGTGAAAGGGAAGGGGAGTTTGCAGGAGACAATTAGTTCAATTCATTAGGGTGAAGATCTGTTCCTGACTTCTTGCCAAGTATTGTCTGCTACANGTGTATATACATTAGAAATATTAAAAATTATTTCCAAATGATTACCACGAAAACTGCATAGACATGTCCAGGTAGTCACCAGGAGTCAAGTTTAAATTGTGGATATCTTTATTTTTAATTTTAAAAATATTATTCCTAACTGGCATAATATTCCATGTTTAGAAGGAATATTTAGTGGGACAGCTATTTTCGAAAAGATAGGTTAGTTATTTTTAATTGCCTTAAATTATTAAAACTATTTTTTTAAAAAAAAATGTTTATAGGTACCCTGAATTAGCATCCATGTGCAAAAGTTCAAATACCTTAATACTGTATCCTGGAGCTGGAGCAACAAATTTGGAAGAAATGGATTTGAGTTCCACTAATTCCTATGCGATCATAATCATTGATGGAACATGGAGTCAAGCAAAAGATATATTTTCAAAGAATCCCCTTTTTCAAATACCCAAGCAGGTAAGATTTAGAATTCTTATGAATACAGTTCAAGTTCTGTGTTGGAAGAGTTCTTTGCATATTTAAAATATTTGTAATTCTGTATTCATACATACTTTTTCTTAAATTTAACGTGCCTCCCCCTTCCATATATACGTGCAAAGTCTTTGTATCTTATCTTTTGAAAAATGTTTGATTTAAATCAAATCCTCACATTTTAAAAGTTCACAGCAGTTTAATATGCTTTGCCTCCAATTTTTTTTAAAAAAATTGAATATAGCTGTTTGTTTAAATACATATTTTGGGTACCTCTGCCCATTCCTCAGGTAGATCAGCTGTCTTTATCTCATTTACCCGAAATGATCTTTTTTTATTGGCTAAGGGCTGGTTCTATTTATAGACCAGTTTCTGTATCCATAATAAGCTTACAGTGTGTATGATATTTAGATATCATAGGCATCAATATATAATCATAGGCTTGATCATGCAGTTTTTCACTCTGGGATAGCAATAAAGCATTATTTGAATTGGCTTATGTGAATTAGGATAAGTTTTATTGATGTTTTGTTCATTGCCTATCTCTAGCAATGAAAATAACATATAAATAGTGGTGACAATTAACTGAAAAAAAATATAACCAGCTAATTTATTTTCATGGCAAAGGAAGGCCATGGTCTTGATCATTATAAGTTTAGATGTGCACATTTTATACTTGATGGCAGATGAAAGCTGCAAGCGCTTTTGCTATTTGAATTGCTCTTTTAGAAAAGAGCATAATTTGCCCTTTTGTAAATGTGTTTCAAGATTGATACGAAGACAGTAGTCCTACTGTGATATTGTAATAACAATTTAATGTCTTCAGCATAGAGTCTTTATTGGAATGATATTGCGTGACAGGATTAATTTTGACTTTTTTTTAATAATGTTGTACCAGATTGTGTATTTTTGTGGTATTGCATTTTGGCTGATACATGTGACAATTTTAGATTTTCATTATGTTCTTCAAATTAATGAGTGTCATAAGAGGAAGAATTGTCATTATTTTAAAGATCATGAATTAACTTCTCTTCAGTCATATTTTGACTCTTCAAGACTTCTAATTCACATAGTCTTAAGAAAAATTAGATCATTATCCAAGTTACAAATAATCCTTCTAGTTCAGAATAGATATTTGCCCTGTATTCTTATCTTCTATTAAAGATAAAGGTAAAGGTTCCCCTTGCATATATGTGCTAGTCATTCCAGATTCTAGGGGGTGGTGCTCATCTCCATTTCAAAGCCGAAGAGCCAGTGCTGTCCGAAGACAGCACTGTCATGTGGCTGGCATGACTAAACACTGAAGGAGCACAGAACACTGTTACCTTCCCACCAAAGGTGGTTCCTATTTTTCTATTTGCATTTTTACATGCTTTCAAACTGCTAGAAACTGAGTCGATTAACGCGGCACTAGGGATTCAAACCACCGAACTGCCGACTTTTATCTTCTAGGAACACAGTAAAGGGCATAGAATTAATTAGTCTTAGAAATTATAGTAACATTCTTTTTAGAATGGTTAACATAGTGTCTTTGAAAAAATAATAATTCATCTTTCTTTCCAAAATGAGTATAGAGGCTTTTTAAATGTTAGAAATACTGGTGCAAAGTAAAGTAAAGTAAAGTTGTACTATGTAATAAGTTATTGAACTATGTTCCTTGTTGCTGTCCACAGGATGGTTCAAGTTTGCACTCAAGGTTAGATGATTGACTCATCTTTAGTTTCATCCTCAGCAAAAAGTCCATTGGGTGATTTGGCCTAGTCACTGTCTTTCAGCCCAAGTTATTCTGCAACGTTGTTATGGAGAAAGTTGGATAAAGAGAGTGGTATTCTTGCTGCCTTAAATGCCTGAAAGAAAGACTGTAGAATGAACAAATGAGAGAAATATTAATTCTCCAATGTTGGTGGAGACAGCAGTCATGCATGGGTTAACTCAGTCAGTAACCAATAGAATTGAGTCTACCAAAGTGATGTCATCGCCTCGAGGGAGTGTCCTCCCACTTTTCTAGACTCAGTTTGATCGAACTGGCTGTGCTAACTTTAATAGTTATTTAAATCGTATTTAATTGGATTTTGTTCTAAATTTCATCTAAATTGGAAGGAATCAGGATAGCTCTTCAAAACTATGTCTCTCGACTAGCCCGGGGCTATTGGAAGAGACTTTTGAGGCTTTTGCCTCTGGAGTTTGCCGGTAGAGAGGCTCTCCGGCAAACAGTGCCTTGTGGCAACGGCCATTGGAGGCCCCGGTCTGCGCTGCTATCTCTGCTGAGCTTTGCACCGCCCCTCGTGCCACAGCCGCTCCAGCTGCCACCAAAAGTCACCAAGGACCACCAGCAGCCTGCAGCAGCCGCCAGCAGCAGCAGCCACCCCCTCATGCCGACAAATGCATGAGGGTCAGGAGGAAGTCCCTGGTATTCCAAGAGATCTGAATCCCTTGCCAGGCATTGTTCTTTGCCAAAAACTGGTTGGAAGTGCCAGGGAGCTCATGCGACAATGAAGCCGAGAGATCCCCATCCCTGCGTCTGGAACCCAAGGAAGAAGCAGACCTGTGAGGGATAGATTGGTTAGAAGATCTGTGAGGATCAGATAGCTCAGGGTCTCTGGTCCGACTCCGACCTTTCCCACAGTATGGATTGGCTAGAGTTGAGGGCCATCCATCTAGTTCTCCTTCTGTTCCATTCTTGGTTCGCAACACACATGTGCTCATTTGGACGGACAACACGACAGCCAAGGCGCATGTCAACTGCCGGGGGGGGGGATTAGAGCTGTTTCTCTCATGGAATCCGCCTTTCACCTAGGGATCTGGGTGGAAGCCAACCTTCTCTCTCTCCACACCAAACACATCTCGGGCTCCAACAACTCCAGGGCGGACTGGTTGAGCAGTACAACAATTGACCCCGCGGAATGGACTCTCAACCATCACATCTTCCAAGAGCTGTCGACCAGGTACGGGGACCCGATCCTAGATCTCTTCGCAACGGCATCCAACAAACAGCTGCCCAGGTACCTGTCTCGCTACACGACTCCAGGCGTGGAAGGGACGGACACCCTGATACAGAGGGTCATTCGGAAAATGATAGAGGAGGCCGAACTCATTCTGCTCACCCCCCATTGGCCACGCTGGCCATGGTTCACGGACCTCATCAACCTCTCAGTGGGGTCAGAGTAGTGGCTTCCCCTGATACCGTCCCTTCTTCATCAGGGTTCCATCCAACACCCCGACCTCTCTTGGCTCCGCCTAAATGCTTGGAGGCTGAGTGGGGGGTCTTGAGGGCGGCTAACCTTCTGAGAATGTAATCCAAACCATTCAAGCTTCCTGACACCCAGACACTAATAGAATCTACGAATCAATGTGGCAGACTTTCAGCACATGGTGCCTCTCTAAAGTTGTCTCTCCCCTAGAGGCTTCAGTTTCCCAGGTTTTGGAGTTCCTACAATAGGGACTAAACAAAGGACTTACGCCTAACACCGGAGGCAGGTTTCGGCTCTGTCCTCGGTTCTCTCTCTTCACCAAAATGAGCCTCTCTCCTTGCACCCTCATGTACGACGCTTCATTAAGGACACGTCTAACCTCTGCCCTCCTGTCATCCACTGCTTCCCCTCTTGGGATCTCACCAGGGTCCTTGACTCCCTCACTGGACCACCCTTCGAGCCTTTCAGGTCAGCCTCCCTGCATCACCTCACATTGAAGACAACCTTCCTGGTGGCTATCACATCGGCACAATGCGTCTCAGAATTGGCGGCTCTTTCCATCCATTCCGACCTGTGTACCTTTCACCCAGACTGTGTGGTCCCAAAGGTCAATTCGGCCTTTCATCGGTCCCTGGACCTCACACTACCAAACTTTTGCCCTAATCCCTCTCATAGTCTCGAGTGCAAATGGCACAAGTTAGATGTCAGAAGGGCTCTTAAGATCCGAAGTGGCGCAGTGGTTAAATGCAGCACTGCAGGCTACTTCAGCTGACTGCAGTTCTACAGTTCGGCTGTTCAAATCTCACCGGCTCAGGGTTGACT